GAGCTGCTCCCGGAATATCACGATCTCATCAGGACCGTGTTCCCAAGGAAAGCTACCCGAAGGTATGAAATAAGCGTACTCCCCGGGCAAGTGATAGTAGGTAATGAGGGATTGGAGCCCCTTGGGCGTCATGGTCGAAGGACCAAACTTGTCTAACATCCGACCCCGACGAGAGGTGGATGCCAAACTACCCGAAGCGCCTCGGCCTACGAGTTCGAACTCTTCCTCGAGCTCTACCTCCGACTTGCTAGGGCTATCGGGGGATGCAACTTGGTTCGCAGAACCTGCATCAGACCCGCTGAAAGGACTATCTAAGCCATCCAAGCTAGACATCGGGGAGTGAGATGGGATCTAGGAAAGTACTCACCCGAAAAAAGGCTGTAGACCACAGGAGCTCAGACGAGCGGAAGACCTTGAACGTGAACTGAAAAGACCTGGACGCGAACTGGATGCGAGTTGAAACTCGGACACGAGCTCGAGAGAAATACAAAAGTGACAGCAACTGGGGTCCCCCCCGCTATTTATACTCACAGTGACCGAAAAGCGACGGCTTAGATCAAAGCCAATCCGACGGCCTACAGCCGCACTGACCACACGTCCCCTAAGACCGAGACGTGATTGACGCATGCCTTTCTGAAACTGACAGAGTGCCGGTGCACATCTTTTCGAAAGTGACAGATTGCCAGCGCACGTCTCCTCAATAAAAGCGATAGCGGCACGTCTTTTTCAAATTTGAGAAGACGCCTGTTATCGCGCGTCCCAAGTGGCGCGCTTTTTTGAAATTTCGAAGTAAAGCGCGCTCCGCCAAATCCATCAGCGTTTAGGCAGGCCGGCGCGCTTCCTGCCTTTTGGACGCTCGAAGAAACCCAAGGAACCCTGACAACGCACCTCGCGCCGTTAGAACCGAGATTCAAAGTGCAGGGCAAATCTACCTGACACCTTGCGAACTCCCCGCACCAGGGCAAGACCCTTAGCACGAGGAGTGGGGGGCAATTGATGAAGGAAGATTTGGCCCGACCTCGCAATTATGCCACGTGGCAAAAAACAAGTAGCTCGGCACTTAAAGCAGCGTACCTAGGGTGCAAACACCAAAGGGAAGAGACCAGTAGTTTGAACTCCCCTCGAGGAGACCGAACTCCCTTCGAGGAGCCCGAACTCCCTACGAGGAGCCCGAACTCCCTAAGAGGAGCCCGAACTCCCTACAAGGAGCCCGAACTCCCTAAAAGGAGCCCGACCTCCCTACTAAGAGCTCGAACTCCCTGCGAGGAGCCCGAACTCTCCCTTTGGCCCTGAGCCACACAAAGCAATGACCCGAACTGGCCCGTGTCATGACAGTTCAGGACACTCCCCTTTCCGAACTCAAGACTTTGCCTCGCACACCGCTCAAAGAACTTCGCCTCTAGGGCATTGAACTGGACAAACCACACCGTACCTGACACCGAAGGAGTCCATATCCAGGGGCGGCGCACCTGACTAACTTGGGATCTGACGCTTGACGGCCGCACTTCAACGGCCACCTGCCACCGTCACCTGCCACCGCCATCTCCAGTTACAGAGACGGCTCCGACAAAAACAGCAGTGACGGTTCTGCCCCAGCAGAGGCGATGACGCCCGAACTGGCAGAAGCACGGAAGTAATCATACCCGACCTGACAAAAGTCTAAGAGTGAGTGCGCGAGGTGGTTATAAAAGGCTCTCCACCCCCCCATTGAAGAGGTATGCAAACTTTGCGCTATCTGGTTTTATCTTGCCTTTGAAGGATTCTAACTTGAGCTTCGGAGCCTTTACACCGGGTTCCCTTCGGAGCTTCCTCATCTCCTCCGTTTCAGGTTCCCTGCTACTCAGTTTAGAGGCAAGGTCGTTGACAGCTAAGACTGGCCGGATTGCGCATCATCAAGACCCATATGAGGACAATAGTATTCTTGTTCTCATGTGGGAGATTTGGGAAAATCATATGCATGTACACTGAGCTAAGCCAGGTAGGGTCCGGGCAAGGTGGGGTGCAGGCATGTGGCGTGTGGTGTGTAGTGTGTGTCTATTGATACCGATTATTTTACCAAAATTAATTTTTAACTGCATTTCATCTCAGATTTTAATTAAATGTTTTAAATTGTTTCCTCTAGATACCCTTTCTTAAAATGTCATTTACTAAAATGTTGTATTTTATGCAATGTGTCCCTTCACTTTTTATTTCTCATATCTTCATGGAGGCACTTTTAGGTATATATAAACCTATAGTCATGTGGCACTTTATTACTTATTTTTCAATACTTTCATTCATTGTCTATCTTCTGAGTTGGGAGATTGTTGCACTTCACTTAGGTTCAATACTTCCTAATGCAAGGTTACTAGGTTCCAGCAGTGGCTTTTAAATCCTAGAACAGAATGCCTAAAGAACTTGGAATGTAATAGCTCAGAATTTTAGGAACCTCAACCCAATTAAAATCAGCCAAAATCTTGTACTTCTTTTTCTTCTTGAAGCAATTAAAATTTGTTAGGCATAAACTTAGAAGATTGATAAAGGGGCAACCTGTGGGCCAAAGAAGGTGCAAATAGTCTGTTCTGGGCCTACGAATAGGATCTCGTCACGGGTCGGTCCACGGGGAAAACCTCCTGTTTTCCCTTGTCCCTTCCTTTTCTTGAGGTACCTATCTTGGCGCCTTGGTGATTTGTTCAAGAGATCACCAACTCTCCTTACTCTCTTCTTGACTGAATATTCGATGCCTTT